ATGTTTTCCCTTGTCAACAAGTGTCATCAATGGAATGGTGAAGCACAAAAAACAGGTCATGGTGAGAAAATATTTTGTTCATTTTGCTGGAAAAAAGTGAGGAAAGGCTGGTGTACATAATAAGTGCAAGTAGATCAGGGAGATAAGGGTAGGAGTGCCACTGGGTTGTTTAAAATGCCCAATGCATCTGCTTTTTTTCTGCCCACAGTGAAAAAATTATATCACATTTCTGCACATCTCTGTGTAAGTGGTTACTCATATTTCTTTTGCTGCTAGCAAACATTTCTTGTTGCAAGACACTGGCATGGGACAATGGATGGGTGTATGCAACAGCCTATTACTGGCTTTTTTCTTTTGTGCTTGCATTCATTTCATCATCTGAATTGTAAGGGCTTAAAAACTATGTTATCCTCAACCCTCACTATCATCTTTCCAATTTGAAAGAAGCAGAGGCACCATAAGGCCACCCCAGGTTATGTGTTGCACACTTGTTTTTACCACCTTTTCTACCCCTTGCACATTTCCAGGTAAACTTTTTTCCATGCATTTTTTTATTGTTTCAGAGGCTGTTCCTGTACCAGTTGCCAATGTAACATTGTTTGAGAAGGAAGCATAGTCTGTGGGCTGTTGGTGGGCTTAAGGCCCTTTGGTTGTGCCATATGCTATGTTCTGCCTGAGGTCCTTGGTAGCTGTATGTTTATACTATGTTGTATATTTGGCCCAAACTAAACATCTTGGTGATCCCCCCCCCCCCCCATCTGCAAATACATCTGGAGAAAAATGAACTCCTTAACCATCCCTACTGCAGGTTGTTTTCTGCACCATTGTCAGGTTATCCACTTGTGTACAGAAAGCTTACCTTTACTGCTGCTTGACGTAGCTGGAAACAGTAGTCCTGACCGTAAACACTGTTTTTATCTGGCGTGGCAAACAGTGCCTTGTTTGTCACAACATTTGACCTATGACTGACCATTGACTTAGAGTAACTTCATTCATGTTAATTTTTCTGTTTGCCAGACAGCCTCATGGGAATTCTGCTGTGTTAAGTTCCATAGGTCATCAATTCAGCTTAATGACTCACAAGCCTTTGTGCATTCTGGCACTGAGGCCTGTTCATAGTTTTCTGTCCATTCTGTTCATAGTATGTCCTGTTCATTCTGTTCAGGGCCTGTTCTGTTCATTCTGTTCAGGGCCTGTTCTGTTCATTTGATTAGAATCATTACCTGCATGACTTTAACCCTGTTAAACTAGTTTGTCATACTTGAAAGCCATATTGTTTCAAGAAAGTGGGTTTCCATTGAGGTAACATTCAAGCACATGCATCTTAAGGGTTTGTTAAAACCACTTTCCATGAAATTCTTACATGGAAAGGCCAATTATCACTGCATGCAGGAGAGGTTTTGGTGTTTGTTTGTGCCCTCTGCAGCAAAGCAAATGTACATTGCATTTGGTTATAGCTAAATTGCAATTGGCTCTGTGTTTCAAATGCTGCCACAGTACTCAGTCATTATTTTGACTCAAAGTTGCAATGTTACAGAATAACTCATGTGTTGTGATGACCTATCATTGAGAGCTTTCCTCCATCTCCCAGTCTCTCGCACTGTGTCAGTCCATATTTCACATTTTTGAATGGCCGACATAATGTGTCCATTTGTGAAATGGTGGTATTATTTAAGGGTTAGATCAAACTGAGTTTACAACAAATGTCAACAATTAACAATGCTAGTGTCACTCATTCAGCATAAGTAATCATGAATCTGTTTAATTGAGGCTTTGAATATGTAATGTTGTCCCAATAGTTGTCACTTACACAAGGCCCCAATAGTTGTCATTTATCACTTTCATAAAAGTTGTTGTTAAACTTTGTGACAAACTTCACACCACAGCTTATAAGGTGCATTGTGGAGGGCAAGGTTGGATGACACAATTTAAAATACCTAAGCATAAGACTTCATGTAGATTGGCTTGCTGCTTTGGGCATTTCTTGTCATGAGGCAAATGACCTGTTCTGGTTTCTCTAAATATGTCTGTTTTTGGCTGTATGTATGCATGAAACACAATGAGGTCAAACTCATCTTGAATGCCATAATTATCTTACCTACCAATAGCTGATTCACACCCTTCTATTATGTCAACAACCAGGCAGAACAACAAAATGTGGGTGCATGCGACGTCATTGCTAATGAATTATGGACCACGCCGGAATAAAACGTCGATTTTAAAAGTACCTGGTGTTTCAGTGTCACTTTCTCGGCATAGTTTGGCCTTCTTCCACTAAAAGCGCGCATTGAATGCCTTTGATTGGCGAGCGTATGGGATCGTGGCGACCGTGTTCTCATTTTGCGTAGCTTCTGGCGGAAAAGATATGCATTCTCAAAGTGTTGTGGCATGTAGATTATCAGCCGCTAGACCCTCAGCAGCACGCGCGGTAGCGCTGGGGCGCCTCCACTCATTGCGGCGCGAGCGCGAGCAGCACCACAGCCGAGCGATTTCCCGTCCATGGGAACTCCTTGAGGCCGGGGTCGTCAGGGCACGCATTGACGCGGGTCACCGCCAGGTTCAACGTCATCCCTCAACCAGTGTGTTACGGTGAACAGTGCGCATGCGCTGTTCGGGTCAGACCCGGGCCGTATTAAGTTAGAGATCGTCGTCCGTACCATGGGCTCGCATTCCCAGGCGTCTGTCGGCCATTTACTTGTGCGCTTTGTCAGCGTGAGTGCGACGGGTTCGAAGTGTCATTGGTAACTGGACCAAAAATGCCCTGCCGCCGCCCTGTTGACAACGGGCTCAGTTTGTCACCGTGCGGCAGGACCGCCGGTCTGCGTTCTTACAAGATCACAACCTGTTTTCCCCTGACAGTGTTCCAATAGGCAAGCCCAGATCTGTGGGATAGAGATTCAGTAGTCCCATTAGTTGCCGTAGTGGACAGTTGTCATTCTTGACACTGCCAATTTTCCAATGATCTCTGATGAATATGAGTGAATATGAATATTTAATCTGTATATTTGAATGAAATATGATTTTCGCACGGGTATGGGGTTTCTGCTATTTCTAACCAACGCAAACTGCTATTACTAACCAATACGAGCTGCTATTACTACCACCAGCTTACACTTGTCAGGTATTTTTTGCTTCACCTTTTGCTTTCAAGTGCTCAGTTGTTTTTGCTTTATTTTTCACAAACATGGACTGTCGCGAGTTACGGCTCGTTTTATAACACGGGTGGCAACTTCGGGTTGATAGAGTTGCGAAAATTTGGGGTGGGAGCACTCCTGGTGCCCTGGGCACGGACGACTGGTGGAATCAACCGCGGGGACTCCCTGATGGATGTTTTCCGTTGATCGCCTCAAGCACGTTTTCCGAAGACAACACTACAGCTATCTTTCATATCTTGCGCCACGTAAGACAGGGGTCAGTGACCGGGTTTGTCATAAGAATAAGCTTACGAAATTGAGTTCGCAGAAGGAATGTGTTAGTCCGGGCCTATTAAGTTTGCAGAAAGAATACATGTCTATTGTGGCGCACGATCGCAGCTTAGACATGGCAGAGAGCGGGAGATGATGTTCAGCACTATAGCTGTATGTCTAGCCGCGCTCCACCGAGCAGCCCAGACCGAGACACCACGCCGTTGAAGCCTTGGAGGAGCCAATACACTCGTTTGCTGTACGTATACATCGTCCGTGTCGTCTCGTTCGTCATGACCGGAGCTGACATGACCTGAGCACCGCCGCGGTCTGGATGCGTACCGCCGAGTACCCGAACCGCTGCGGTCCTGTGCCGTGACCTGACCTGACCTGACCTGACGCGACCTGACCGCCACTGCAAGCCTGGAAAGACACGTGTGTGACACCCAGGCCGGTGCAGATATGTGCTGTGACCTTATTGGAACTGACCTGATCTGTCGTGACCCGACCCGCCATGTACTGAGGTGCCCTGCCATGACCTGACCTGGCCGGGCCTGATCGCCTCTTCAGTCTGGAAGGGCACGTACGGAACACCGAAGCTGGCTTGGACGCGGGCTGTGATCTAATTGGACCTGACCTTACTTGGCATGTCATTATCTAACATGACCTGACCTGTCATGCCTTGCCCTGACCCGACCTGACCTGACCTGACCTGCCAGGACCGGTGCTACAGGATGGAGGGACAGGTTGCACATTCAGGTGTGCGCAACATCCGGGCCGCTGCGATGGTACGCTGTGACCTGACCTGACCTGACCCGACTGCCGTTGCAGCCTGGAGGAGCGCGTGCGGGACCCGGACCGGCGCAGCCGGCTCCAGCAGCTGGAGGATGACCTGCTGAACGCCCGCTCCGTGCTCAATGTCGACTGCCTGCTGGACTCGGTGCAGGCGCTGGTGGCCGACAGCGACCATCCGGCCATCAAGCGCATCAAGAACATCGACTCCTTCCTCGCCCGGTGAGAGGGCGGCGGCCGGCGGACGAGTGGGACGAGACGCTGCCGTCGCTGGGAGGCGGCGCGAGCTAGCGAGCCGCGTCTGAGTGTCTGCCGCTGGTCTAGATGTGGTCGTGAGCACGCGAAATTTTATCGCGCAGTGTGACGCCGGCCTTTTTCTTTTTCATCGTAGCTGAACGCGTGCTTGGATTTTGGACCGATGTATCGCATGTTTCGCATGCATACTGGTATATTTCTCAGTGACCCTACCTTGACGTTAACGTGGCCCGACCACGAGCAGACAATGACTTATGCGTGATCCGACTCCATGCTCTATGCGTGACCCAACTCCACCCGACGTGCGCCTGACCTGGCCCTGACGTGACGATGTGGACGGCGGCTCGCCTGTGACGTGGTCGGTCTGCGGCCGCAGGTATGGTGGCGCCGCACGCACCATCGAGAATCGTCGCATGCGCGCCGAGGACTTCTCGCTGATCAAAGTGATAGGCCGCGGGGCGTTCGGCGAGGTTCAGCTGGTGAGTGGTGGAGCGCGGCCATCTCGCGGCGCCCTGGTGCCGGTGACCGCCTCCCGGCCACGACGTACCTTTGTCCCTGCTTCCCCCCCCCCCCCTCCCCTGCCGCTTCCCTGCCTTTCATAACTCTGTCTCCTGCTCCGTCTTCTTGTCTCTGAGTCTGTGCTCCTTCGTTCGCATCGCTCCCGGTCTTGATCTTTTCCACATCCGTCTTTGTCGTTGTTTATATATCTGCCTTTGTCGATGTATTTGTCCGTGCCTTTCATTCCCTGCCTGTTAATGTTCGGTGTACAGATGATATCCTTTGTGTCTTTGTGACACAAAAGCTCGCCTCCCCTCCCCTTCCGCCACCTCCGTCTTGAGCGCCATCTGCCTCATCCCCAGCCGCCCCCCTCCCCCGGCCCCGGCAGCGCGGGCGCCCCGGCGGCGATATCCGGCACCGTCAGAGGCCCGCCTCGCTGCGCCGTCCCAACACTGTCCTCTCGCTTCGGGCGCCGCGCGCGCGCACGTCGTCGGTGTGACGTCACCACATCCCGGACCCGCCTGCAGATAGCGGCTGCGCTGATAGCCCATCCCTCCCCTCCGGCTCCGCCGCGACCCGGGCATGCTCATGTCGGCACACGCCCCCCCCCCCTCCCCCACCCCCTCCCCGTCCCTCTGTCAGTCGGTAGGGTGGCCACGGCGCTCTGTGGTCAGTGGATCGAATTGAAATGACATGCCGGCCTGGGGCAGGGTATGGGTGGGGGCGCGAAAGGTCACGCGTGCTCCGGCCTGCCGGGTTGATATATTGGCGGTCGAGATCAGCGCTGGTTTGTGGCTAGATGTGATTGGGTGATCAATTTGGGCGGATCAGTTGGATCGTCGCATCGGATGTCAGGACTAGACCCAGCGGTGGGACGGCGCGGAAACGGCTGTCTCGGTGCGGTGGCACGTGACAGTAAAAGGCCACGCTCTCATGCGGATGGCAGTGACGCAACGTTCCCTTACCCGCATCAGCCTACATTGTGTGCCGTTGACCACGGTCGGAAACGGGCTTCTGTCGAAATATGTCCGTGGAATGCACCGACCGGCTGACCCTGTCAACGGGATCGCAATCGATGGCACGCGCCGTGCTCGCCGCCGAGAACTGGGCACGCTGCCAACTGACCGTCCTCGCCGCCGCCGTCAGGTTCGGCACAACTCCACTCGGCAAGTGTACGCGATGAAGCTGCTCAGCAAATACGAGATGGTAGGTGGCCGGGCCAGGCCGGCGTCGACTCGGGCTCGGGCTCGGGCTCGGGCTCGGGCTCGGGCTCGGGCTCGGGCTCGGGCTCGGGCTCGGGCTCGGGCTCGGGCCCGGGCTCGGGCTTGGGCTTGGGCTTGGACTTGGCCTTGGCCTTGGCCTTGGTCTCAGGCTCGGTCTCGGCCCCCCTCGCGTCAGACGGCGCGCCCGACCGCTCGCAACGCTGCTGACTGGACGGCGGCCGTGTTTTGTGTCGGCGCCGCCGCCGTCGGCCGTGCAGAAGTGACCGCGGCCGGCTGGGAGGGCGCACCGGCCGTGGATCGTTGCCGACCGCCGGCGGCGGGGCGTGCGGTGTGGAGGGTGTGAATCAGGCTGGCGGCCCGCCGCGGCAGCCATGGCGCGGCACGCGGCGGCCGGTGACGCACGTTCGCGTCGCGCTGCCGCCGACCGGCCAGGTCATGTCCGGCTGGCGGTCGGGGTCGTGTTCGGTCCGCGTCACGCCCTCCGGGTCGGCCGGTGTCACCATCTGCCGCTCTGCGTGATGGCCTGCCTGAGCAGCACGTGGCCCGTTCATGGTCACGGCGAACGGCGAGGTTCGCAGTGTTGTATGTTATCTTCGCCTTTAATCTATTTGCCCTTCATGTGGACGCCAAAAAACTTTTTCCTAAGCGAATGCTCCACGCTTTTGTACCGCCCTTTGGATTTTAGGTCATGGCATGCATCAGCCAGCCAAAGAGCAAAGCTATGATGACACTCATTGCGAAGCGCGTAACCTTTTATGTACGATTGTATGGCGGTGCTGCCGTCGGTACACTGTGAACAACCGATGCGTTCACAACGGCGTAGAACATGGGGTTCCCTGCGCGCGTCGCGAGGAGTGATGAAAAAGTAGAAGTGTTTACTTTAGTACAAGGGGAAACAAAGAAGTCAAAACAGAATAGTTGACGGCTCACGCCCTTCTCCGGCGCGCAGATCAAGAGGTCGGACTCGGCCTTCTTCTGGGAGGAGCGCGACATCATGGCGCACGCCAACTCGGACTGGATCGTCAAGCTGCACTACGCCTTCCAGGACTTCCGCTACCTCTACATGGTGATGGACTACATGCCTGGTACGTGGCAGAGCTATACCTACCTCTAGCGCCTGGCCCCGGCTTTGCAGAGGCGGTGCCTGGAGCCCCAGTCGTCATGCTGCAGGGGGGGGGGGGGGGGGGAGATCGAACGAACAAGACCGCTTCCCCGACTGGGTTGTAGGTATGACAGGTAGTTTCTTTGGTCTGTCATATCTAGGCTTTGTGGCCTCGTGACCCAGTGCTAGACAGCGGCGTATGCGTGGGTGGGCGTGGCATGCATCACGTCTGAAAGGTCGTGTTAGGGGGACGCGTTACTAGCCGTACAAATATTTATCTACGTGCGATCGATGCGAAAGGTTACGGCGCTAATAGCCACAGCAGCGATAAGTGTCGTTAAATAATCGATTGGCCGAAATAGCGACGTCGTAAAATAATCGCAAGGCCGAATGGTGACGTTTGCTTGTAATCTTCGCCATGGCGTAGCGCCTCAGCCGACTTTGTTTCGGCAGCCCTGTAGCCCAGTGCAGGTGTCCAGGCGCAGAGATTGCGGCCGATACTGTGGCGGTCCGTGAGAGTTTGGCGGGGTAAGGCACACACGATAGCGTGCTAGGCGCGGTGGCGAGGTACCAGCTGGTGTTGCCGCTCGTCTGTATCGGCATGCCGTACCGGAACGACAATGTGAGGTGTCGTGCTGGCATCATTCAGTCGTTGACCTAAAGCCTGGTTTTTCTAGCAGCGTGGTATGCTGAAGCCCCTGGTGTTGAGAACCGAATTGGAGCGTTTCGTCCCACCCGTTCTGGCATCAGAAGTCTTGCTCTTTTCAGTAGGCTCCCCCCCCCCCCCCCCTCCCCGGCTCGTTCGTCATCCCACAGTCCCGTCCCGGCCGTGGTTCGCCCGCCTCCAGCAGCCGCGTTCCGCCCGTCACAGTCCGGCCGTCTTGACCCCGGGCCGTCGGCGTCTCTCCGCCGCGGCCGGCCACTGGTGCTGCTCCCTGCTGACCCCCCGGCCGTGGGCGTCCCGCCGCCGCCTGCCCTCTGGCGCTGCTCCCTGCTGACCCCCAGGCCGTGGGCGTCCCGCCGCGGCCGGCCACTGGCGCTGCTCCCTGCTGACCCCCAGGCCGTGGGCGTCTCTCTGCCGCGGCCTGACCTCTGGCGCTGCTCACTGCTGACCCCCCGGCCGTGGGCGTCCCGCCGCGGCCTGACCTCTGACGGTGCTTACTGCTCACCCTCCGGCCGTGCGCGTCCCGCCTGCCCACTGCCGACCCCCCGGCCGTGGGCGTCCCGCCTGCTCACTGCTGACCCCCGTCCGTGGGCGTCCCACCTGCTCACTGCTGACCCCCGGCCGTCGCCAGGCGGGGACCTAGTCAACCTGATGTCCAACTACGATGTGCCCGAGAAGTGGGCGCGCTTCTACACGGCCGAGGTGGTGCTGGCGCTGGACGCCATCCACTCCATGGGCTTCGTACACCGGTGAGGGGTGGTCCCGCTCCCCCTGACCGGCCGACCGGCGCCGCGGACCGGGCAGAGGGGTCTGGTGCCGGTACGCTCCATGGAACAGCGCCGGGAGTAATGCCATATGCGCGCGCGTGTGCAGCTGCATGTGTCTGGATGTGATTGAGGATGAGGTTCTGACTGTTCGGACCCGTTAACCCGTTGTTTGACTTGGAAATTGCCGATATCGGACCAGTCAAAGCTGCATGCCATCAATGTTGGGCCATCTTTTGCATGAATTGGGCACGGCGCGGCCCGTCTGGCAGTGCGGGATGCATGTCGAGATCATGTATGGACTAACAGCGCGGAGCCGCGCAGCACCACGCCGCGTGTGTTCTGGGCGTGCGCTAGCCCGCCGGGGCTGGCTGGCCACGCTGACAGACGGGTGACGCGGTGACGACTGCGTTGGCGGGTGACGGATGTGGCCGCGCAGGGGCGCGGCGCTGTGACCCGTCACGGCAGCGCGGCTGGTGGTGATGGGGGTGGGGGGGGGGGGGGGGTCATCGTCGGGGCTCTCCGTGTGACCCCTGACGCCCTGATGCTGGGGGCGGAGCTTTGCCCCCGGCTGGTCGGCGGTGAGGCGTTTCAGTGGGGTCCAGCCGGCTGTTGCACGGAGGTTCTCCAATCCGTGATGTCCCGGCACCTTGTCCGGACACGTTCGCCGCCGCGGAACCCTCGCTGTCGGCTTAGGTGGGAGTGGGGTGGGTGGTGGAGGGGCTGTTCATTGTGACAGGTGTGAGTCAACACATTTGTGCTGTCGCTCTCCTAGCGTGACTCACGCGGTAAAGCTGTGGGCTCTTTCCCCTCGGTTCGTGTGTGCTATCGCTCCCTGCTGTTATCGGCTGTATTTCCCTGTGTGGAAACTTGGCGCCGACCTGATGGTGTCGTTTGGTTTGACGACGTTATCTGTGCTGCCGCAGGGACGTTAAACCTGACAATATGCTGCTCGATAAGCACGGACACCTGAAGCTGGCAGACTTCGGCACCTGCATGAAAATGGACAAAGTGAGTGGGTCCCAGCGGTGGAAGTTACATCCTTGTCGCGAAATATCACCTCACTACACTACTGTACGTCACTACACCTCACTCGCCTGTGTTCGGACGCGGCTGGCGCTCAGCATCTCCCCACGACCTCGCACCTCGTCACGGCTCTGCATCTCCTCACGACCCGGCATCTCCTCACGACCCCTCATCTCCTCACGACCATGCACCTCTTCACGACCCCTTATCTCCTCACGACCCCTTATCTCCTCACGACCCTTTATCTCCTCACGACCCCTTATCTCCTCACGACCCATTATCTCCTCACGACCCCTTATCTCCTCACGACCCCTTATCTCCTCACGACCCCTTATCTCCTCACGACCCCTTATCTCCTCACGACCCCTTATCTCCTCACGACCCTTTATCTCCTCACGACCCCGCATCTCCCCATGACCCCTCACCATCTCCAGTCCCTAGGTCTCAAGGAGCCGTCTTCCCCGATCGCCTTCTTTCCACACGGGGCTGTCAGAAGTCCGTCCGGTGGTCTGTCGGCGGCCACAGCCAGGCTCGTCCGCGTTAGCGGTCCGACGGCCTCCGGCGTCGTGGCTTACACCGTATGCTGCTCTTGAGACTGACCTCCTGATACGTACACCGAACACCTCGCCACCCGTCCCGACCCTGTGCCCTTCCTGGTGACACGACTTCACCCGGAGACCGTCTAGGCATCGCCGGTTCTGTACAAACTGTCGGTGATCGCCGCCCCCCTCGCCACCGTCGCAACGCGCGCTGCCACCCCGTCGCCACCGTCGTACGGCGCGCCGCCGCCGCCGCCGCCGCTGCTGACCCGGCCGCCGCCGGCAGGACGGTCTGGTGCGCTCCGACACGGCCGTCGGCACGCCCGACTACATCTCGCCCGAGGTGCTCAAGTCGCAGGGCGGCGACGGCGTGTACGGCCGCGAGTGCGACTGGTGGAGCGTCGGCGTCGTGTTGTACGAGATGCTGGTGGGCGACACGCCCTTCTACGCCGAGAGCCTGGTGGGCACCTACGGCAAGATCATGGACCACAAGAACGCGCTGCAGTTCCCCGACGACGTGGAGCTGACTAACGACGCCAAGAGTCTCATCTGCGGCTTCCTCACGGACAGGTGCGCGACCGCCGCGGCACCGGCCCGCCGAGATGTGCGCGGACGGTGGTGGTCGTTTGCTGGTTTGGTCGGCTCCGTGGGAGCGGCAGATGAAGACTTGTGTGTCGATATTGTGTTGTTGGGGTGCGGCGAGGAAAGGCCGGCGTCTGAGGTGATACTGTCTGGAGGGTTTTGGGCCGACTGATCGGAACGCCAGGGATGGAAAGAAACCGAGGAAGATGGAGAGGTCTAGGGAGTGGGGCTTGTGGAGGTATTAAGTGCCGGCCAGTTGTGTATCTCAAGCCGCCTTCCGCATACAGCTTTTTATGGAAAATACCGGGCAGCGAATAAAAGATAGACAACAACGCTTGCATACGATCCAACGCACCTCCACGCGTCTCCCATGTGACTGAGCGTGACGACGCGTGACATGGCGCGTGACGTGACGCGCGCCCGCAGGAGTCAGCGGCTGGGCCGGGACGGCGTCGCCGAGATCAAGGCCCACCGCTTCTTCGTGGACGACAACTGGACGTACGACACGATCCGCGAGTGTGAGTTGGGCCCCGGCTCACCGGCTCTGTCCGGGCGGCCGCGGGGTGCAGGCCACCGACGTGCTAACCCCTGCTGCGGCTGACGGGCTGCCGAAATTGTCACGGCTGTTGCGTAGATTGGGGAGGGACGGAGGGGGGAGGCGGCGCCTGCGATGGTGGCAGGTGTACGTGTAGGCCGGTCAAGGCAGCTGGTGGATCGCCGGATCAAGGCAGGTGTACGTGTAAGACGCGCTGTCAAAAGTTGCGCGACAGTCGTTTTGTCCCAGTGGTGCGCAGCTGGGCCGTTCCGTCGCGGCTGGCAGCTGTGCGTGTCCGGACAGTCGGCTCCGGCGCGTGGCCCCGCCGTGCCCCGTCGTCGTGTGCCTGACCCCAGCCGGTGCTTGTGTTCGGGTCAGGCCCTCCGCCCAAGGTGCCTGAGCTGCTCGGCGACGATGACACGAGCAACTTCGACGACGTGGAGAACGAGGAGAGCCAGCAGGAGGACTTCCCCACGCCCAAGGCGTTCGCTGGCAACCACCTGCCGTTTGTGGGCTTCACGTACTCGCAGGACTACCAGTGAGTGCTGTGGACCTCGCTCACGTCCTCTGGACCAGGGATGTGAGGCTCGGAAGTGTGCAGCCCATGGGCCGGCCGATTACCGACTGGAAGGCAGTTTTGGGGCCTTGCTGTTCACTTCTTTTGGCGAATTCAGTGCCAGTTTCTCGTGTATTTTAGAAATACTTTGCTCATATTTGCGTTTGTCGAAAGTTGGACTGAAAGCCTCCATCTTGCTCGACCAAAGCCTTAGTTGATCCGAGTGGGCATCGGTACCTCAAAATATTGACGGCGGCTGGTCACCACTACGGAGGACGAGATGATCGCCGTGCGGAGAGCGAGCTGATCGCCTCCATCGGTCTCGGGCTGTATTCCCCTCTGTGGCTGGAGTTGTTAACCCGCGGATTCAGATCGGACTCTTCAAGCGCTACTGACCTGCTCGGGCTCGGACGGTCAGGCCGCTCCGCGCCGAAGCGTCGCAGCGGTTCCGGTGCCCACATGACGGCAGCCGCCTGTGTCTGGCCCGGCCGTGTACTGCGGCGTGTCGGCGCTGGCCGTGGCCTCTGCTCTCTGGGTGCCGCTTTGACACGCTGTCTTTGCAGGCTGCTGGGAACCCGGTCCGGCGTGCCAGATCACGTAAGTGGTGCTGGCGATGACGGCCGGCGGGCTGTCCTATACCGAGCAATTAAAAGATGAAATAGACTACTTATATGTTATGACTTTGTGTCCTGTGGGTGTGAACGAAGCTCGCATGCCAATGCATTGTTTTTCTGCTCAGCTTCATTTTGACCGATTATTGTGCTAAAAGCTCTTTCAACTTGCCGAGTCGCGTGCGGCGAGCTGTCGTCTGTTCTATAAGGATCCTTGCCGTAAACAACTCTCATCCGCCGAGAAAGCATCATCGCTTTTCGCTCCATGTCCTATGGATCGTCGCTTGACCCTAAGTGTGACGGATTCCGCCGCTGTCCACGCCGTCCGCTGCGTGTGTCGCCCACGTGTCGCTGGGGCCGGCTCCTTGTGTCCGCTAACTGTGCTGCCCTCCGTCCCGGCCGCGGCCGCTTGTGCGTCGTCTCGCGCCGAGCAGAGTCGGAGGACGTCACAGCACGCCAACTCGCAGGTGGATGGGGTGAGTCCCGACGCCGGCGGACCGGCCGCTCTGACGGCCGGTCGGCGCCGTGTCGGCCTGTCGGAAGCCGCTGGTCCGAAGCGTTCTGCTGACTGGAAACTCGAGCTGAAATGATCTACCTTTCGTGAGGGATTTCTGTTGGTCTTTCAAGAGCTAGCTAGCTAGCTAGCTTGGAAGACCAACAGAAATCGCCATTGTAAAGGACCTGCTTCCACTCTGCCGCGAAATGCAGCCTGCGTGGAATGGAGGTTGCTGGGACGAGGCTGATGATGTGACCGAGCAATGATCCTGTGACTCCACCGTTGTAGTCATCTGACCGCACCCCGTTTTCTGACCTCAATCACTTCTATGCACCGACTGGTCGCTCGTTTTGCCTTGTACGCTGTGCCCGTCGCAGAGAAAAGTAACACCACCATCAGACCACCGAGTGGTTTTGTTCCTCCTCGTCAAACGCCTCCCATGCCCACCACATGAGTGCTACAATACACCAGCCCAGCCCCGTACAGCAGATCAACCTCCGGCACCCGGCCAGACCACCAACTGTCCGTGCGAGACTATCGAAACATCAACCCGGCGCCAAGCCCAGCTCCTGACCCCAGGAGCAGACCACATGACCATCAGGTGGTTAGGTGGTCCACCAGGGCACCAGACTCCAACACGTGACCAACACGTGATGCCGACACTGTCCTGACCTCCTGACCTGACCCGTGACCGTCCGCCCCCTGACCTCTTGACGTGACCTGCGACCGGCGGCCGACAGGCGCACGGCTCCGCCGAGCGGGAGCGGCAGGCGCGCACCGAGGCCGAGCACAAGTACCGCGTGACGCTCACACAGCTGGAGGCGCTCACCGACCACGAGACACGCCTGCGAGAGGAGAAGGCTGACCTGGAGCGGCGGCTCGCCTCCTCGCTGCACGACCTCAAGGAGGTGCGGCCGGCCGGGCGGGACGGCGGAAGCGGTGTCGGGGCGAGAAGCCGCGCCTGGGGCCGTTGTGTTGCGCGCCGGCCGTGCCGTAGACTTGTTTTGTGGTCCAGCGAGCACGGACGATGTACGCGTGCCTTCTTAGTGGCCGGTGCTTCACTAGATCGACGACAGGCGATGAGTTCTTCACTGGACGAGTCATATTTTTGATATCTTTCCGTGATAATCGCTCACAGGCTGGGTCACCATCGCCACTCCCGCACGTTGCACGCTTCCCAGTGCCGATAAATGGCATGATGTTACATCAAAGCGGACGCACGGACGTGTCCTCGCGCCTCGCGGACAGGTGCGCTGTCCAACGGGCAGTGGACCACCATATTTCGGGCCTGGGTGGCCTGACTCGGCTTTAGAGTAACCCGCCGACGCCCCTGGCGCGCCGCAGGCGGGGCGGAAAGCCGACCTGGAACTGGAGACGCGCCGCAAGCTGGAGGCCAAGGTGTCCGAGCTGCAGCGGCTGGTGGAGGAGGAGCAGTGCCGGCGCACGCGCGACGCCATGACTTCCAACATCAGCTCCGAGCGCAGCCAGGCGCTCGAGAAGCAGCTCAATGAGCTCAACGACAAGCTGAAGACCGAGACGGACGCCGGCCTGCGCCTCAAGAAGCAGCTGACCGAGAAGGGCGCGCTGCTGGCTGCCCAGGAGCAGACCGTGCGCGAGCTGACCGAGCGGTGAGTGACGCGGACTAAGTTTGGCGCGGGCCCCGGAACGCTGGCGTCTGCGTGCGCTGGCTGCCCGCGTCGGCGCGAGATTTTGCTCCGTCTTGGAGTCGTCGGTGCCACGCGCCTCGCTGTGGCATCCGGCTGGTAGCCGTCATGACGTGTTGAGCTAGTGGGCTGGCTGCGTGGCGAAGTTGTGGTGGGGGAGGAGGGTCGATGGTGAATGTGGACGCCATGGTGAGAGACAGCGGACTGTTCTTGGTCATCCCGGCACGCTCCGTCGCCTGGCCAGCCGACATTGACCTCGCCGGACTGACCGTCGTCTCCCCCCCCCCCCCCCCCCGGCAGGCTGTCCAGTGTGCAGAACGTGCGGAACGGCCTGGAGACCGAGCTGCTGGCGACGCAGGAGCGGCTGGCCCAGGAGAAGGCGGCCAAGGCGCAGATCAACGAGCTTAACCAGGACCTGGAGCGTGAGTGGCTGCCGCCGGCCGGACCGGCCGCGCCGGGGGCCGGGCGCAGCCGCTGAGGCGCCGCAGCGGCGCGCACGAGACTCTGCGGTACCTGTGCAGGAGTCTGCCAAGCGATACGGTCAAGTTTAATGGTGACCTTGACGACGAAGTCACCGCCATGCGAAGTTGTAGCGATCTGTTGCAGTTTGCACTATTGTCACTCTCCGCGCTGCTGTTTGGGTTCGTGGTTTAGAGGTGACAGGCGCTGCGTGTGTGTGTTTTCACGGGTCATCACGCACACACTTTTGCCGTCGCTGGCCCAGCCGGGTGCCGGTGGCGCGTGTGTCCTCCTGTAGCCTTTGTAGCTGTATCGTCTGTCTATGCTGCCACCCTTTGACGCCCGGCGTGCGGCTGTGGCGTTGCACCGTGTGCCAGTACCCCCTGACACCTACTGCGTTCGTCCCACCCCATGACGTGTGCTCGTGCGTCCGCCTGTGCTCTCGCGCCGCCCCTTTCCTCCCACGCGAACTTCCCGTGCCCTCCGCGCCCACCGCGCGTGCGCTCGGGGGGCCACCGACCTGAGCGGCGCGCGTGTGACCGGGCGGTGGCGCGCCCGCAGGCCGGCGCGCTACGGCGCAGGCCGAGGCCGACCGGCTGCAGGGCCGCGAGGCCACGCTGCAGGCGGACGCCAGCCACCAGGCGGACCGGCTGGTCGAGCTGGAGAAACAGACGGCCAGCCTGCAGCTGGAGCTGCGCGCCGTCTCCAGCAAGTACGAGCAGGAGGCGCGCGCGCTGCGTGAGCTGCGCCAGCGCCGCACCGCCAACCAGCAGGAGGCCAACGTCGAGCTCGTCAAGAGTGAGTGCCGGGGAGCGCGGCGTCTGCCGCTGGCGGGCAAGGGGTAGGATCTTGAGATGCCGACGTGATAGGTAGTGAGATGACGCAGTTTTTGCGCGCCTAGTGCCGCACGCTGCGTTAGGTGGTCGTTTGAAATTTGTTTTAGGGATGGAGTTTATCTCTTGATTACTTTAGCAGGCCACCTCTCAGTTACCACCACGTAGTAGCTGGCCACCTAGTTACTCTTAACTCTCACCAGGTGGCCGCGGCTTTGTACGTGCGAGCGGGCACTAGATGCAGGGCAGTCGTCACTTTTTACGAGGCTTTTGACGGCACTTTACCGTACATTTTAACAGTCTTTCTGCACTCGTCTCCATCTGTGTCTCCTTCTGCCGCCGTCTCTGAGTGAGCCTCGCGCCGCCGCTGCCGCCCCCGCCTTTGACGTCCCCTCCCCGCCTGTGACGCCCCCTGCCAGCCTGTGACGCCCCCTCCCCACCTGTGACGCCCCCTGCCAGCCTGTGACGCCCCCCTCTGCCGGCGGCCCCTCAGCCCAGCTGAATGAGGAGCGCACGAGCCGGCAGCGGGCTGAGAGCACGCTGCAGGAGCGCGAGCGACAGATGTCCATGCTGAACGTCGACTACAAGAACATCCAGCACCGGCTGCAGAAGCTGGAGGGCGAGCATCGCCAGGAGGTGGAGAAGGTACGGTGGTGCTCCGGAATGGCCCGGACTGGGAATGCTGTCAATGTTGGTAGTGGCTCGATGGTTTTCTGCGCGACGAGGCGTTCTTGCTCCTCGTCTATGGTCCGTAGCAAGGATGGTCGGTGGTTGGATGCTGATACAGGATATCCGCGCAATAGATAACATTGCATCAGTTCTTGTCCAGGACTGTGCATGGCTTGTGTTTTTGAACTGGGTTTATCATCTTGAGTGCCGAGACCCCTTTTTTTGTTTACAAGCTATGTATTGCATTCATCGGTTTATATCATCACATGGTATAAATGTCATGAATGGTGTCACTGCTGGGAAAAATGAAAGGAAAGATTCCTTTCATTATATTCGCAATAAAGGACACCATTCTGCGGTGTCAGGCCTCTGCCTCTGTCGTCCGCTCCCCGAGGTCCCTTCTCGCTCATCGCCTCACCTTGCTGGATCTCCACCGCAGGTGAAGGCGCTGAACGTGCAGGTGGAGCAGGAGGTGCAGAAGCGGTCGTTCCTGCAGAACGACTTCAGCATGCAGTCCTCGCAGATGTCGCTGCTGCAGTCGCGCGTGACACAGCTGCAGCGCGAGGTGACCGAGGCACGTCAGGCGCGCTCCGAGGTGTTGGAGCAGCTGCAGCGGCTGCGCGCCACGCGCCAGGTGGACGAGCTGCAGACCAAGGAGCTGCAGGACCAGCTGGAGGCCGAGCAGTACTTCACGGTCAGTGAGACGACGACGGCGGCGGTGTGGAGGCGGGAGGAGGGTCGGCCGCTGGGGAGCGACAAAGGGTGGATTATCGATCTAATGTTAATTGGGTGATGACATTGGATATGACAAGGTGGTGTCTATTTCAGCACAGTGTCAGTGTCAGTGTGTAAGGTAGGATACGACAGCCCAGATCAGCTCTGCCAGGAAGAGCCTTTGACTATCTTGCCAGAGCACTATTTTTTGCAGTCAGGAGATCATGCAAGAAATCGGGATCCAGTTGTTTCGCGACCCGTAAATCCTGGAGGCGTTGCACAGGCGCACGCACGTGAGGCTAACGTGACTCCCCTCCCGCAGGCGCTGTACAAGACGCAGTCGCAGGAGCTGCGCGAGGAGCTGGACGAGAAGACGCGCGTCTGCGGCGAGCTGGAGGAGGAGCGCAACAACCTGGGCCACCAGCTGCAGATCGCCATCTCGCGCGCCGACACCGAGGCGCTGGCTCGCTCCGTCGACCAGGAGACCATCGCCGAGCTGGAGAAGGTCCGTGCCGACCACCGGCGGTGGCGAGCGTGGGAGGGCTGCGCGCTCAGGAGGGGTACCCCAGAGTCGGTGTTGGTTACTAGGCCGCCGTCGGCGTGCGCCCGGCGCGCCCCGAACCACCCGTCATGGCCGTCGTGCTGTGGCGTCAGGCGGATGTGTAGGCGGACGGAGGTGTGTGCTGAAGAGGTGGAAATGACACTAGGCTTTGACAGCTGACAGCTGCCTTCTGTTGGGAGGCCTGGTACCGCGAGCGGATTACACAGTTTTCTAAAGGCGCCCAGACGGCTTGCCGTCAGTTGGGACAGTGTATTTTTAAGGACGCTTGCCACATCCATTGCCACTCGCACTAGGGCAATGGTAGGCCCGGACAACAGAAACAATCACCCGAACGGTTATACTGACGTGGCTGGCCGTGAACTCGTCTAGTGTCCACGCCAGGTCACGTGTGTCGGTGACGTGGCTGACGTGGCCGCCGCCGGGCCCGCTGCAGGATAAGACGGTGCAGAGCCTGGAGGTGCGCGAGCTGCGGAACGAGATGAACAACAAGGAGCGCTCGGTGACGCTGGCCAAGGACAAGGAGAACGAGTACATCCGCTCGCTGGACCAGCTGCGGCGCGACAACGAGGAGCTGCAGCGGCTCATCGAGACCCTGCAGCAGGGTGAGGCCGCCGGAGGAGGCCGGCCAGCCGGAGCCGGTCACGGACTTGGGCTGGCCGCGGGGCCGCCAGCTGAGGTAGAGGTTCAGAAGGGATGGGCTTCGTCGCTAGCGGAGGAGCGGATGGGAGGAGCCGCGCAGGAGTGCGGAGGAGCCGCGCAGGAGTACAGCGCGCGGCGTCGGGCGGATGGGAGGAGCCGCGCAGGAGTACAGCGCGCGCGTCGGGCGGATGGGAGGAGCCGCGCAGGAGTGCAGCGCGCGGCGTCGGCGGATGGGCAGGAGCCGCGCAGGAGTACAGCGCGCCGGCGTCAGGCGGATTGGAGGAGCCGCGCAGGAGTACAGCGCGCGGCGTCGGGCGGATGGGAGGAGCCGCGCAGGAGTACAGCGCGCGGCGTCGGGCGGATGGAGGAGCCGCGCAGAGTACAGCGGACGCGGCGTCGGCGGATGGGGGGAGCCGCGCAGGAGTACAGCGCGCGGCGTCGACTCTCCGTACGCTAGCATGATGTGCTGGCCTCGCCGCGGCGCGCTCAGCTGGCGACGGGCCCTGGCGGTATGCGTGCTTGTAAGAGGCGTTCCGTGGTATGCTGCGACACAGTTTCGCTGCTGTCATTCCGTGGCCTTCCCAGGACGTAGACCTCTCAACCGGTTGGGACCTCCGCGCGCGGCGATGGGACCACGAAGGACGGCGGGGAATACTTACGCCTCTCGCCGGAGTACCAATGTTGCGGCACAGCCAGGCGCGCTGACGTGCCCTGGCGTCCTCAGAGCGTGAGACGCCGCAGCCGGGCAGCCCGCCGGAAGAGCTGGAGCGACTGCGGAAGCAGGTGAAGCAGGAGCAGCTGCTCAAGATGCAGGCGGTCAACAAACTGGCCGAGATCATGAACCGCAAGGACATCAACATCGGCCGCAAATCCAACCCCAAGAGCTCGGCTGAACTCAGGAAGAAGGAGAAGGAGTGTCGTCGGCTTCAGCAGGAGCTCACTCAGGTACAGAGGACGGGGAAGGAGGATAGCGCAACAATGCCTATGTAACGATGGTAATGGACAACCCTTTTCGCCGTCGTGTTTTTCATGACCGCTGTGTATCCCAATTTTTCACAGTTTCTTTACGCCGAGTGTCGGGATAGGGTCACGCTGCAGTGATCTGGTTCAAATGGCTGTCGGTTACAAGGTAGCTGGTTTGTACCGCGTCAGCTGTCGGCCCGCCACTCCGTCCTGCCCAGCTGCCCAGTGTGTGGTGCCGATCATCACCGTCTCACGCCCTGTGTGTGGTGCTGATCATTGCTGCCTCACGCCCTGTGTGTGGTGCCGATCATCACCGCCTCACACGCCCTGTGTGTGGTGCCGATCATCACCGCCTCACGCCCTGTGTGTGGTGCCGATCATCACCGCCTCACGCCCTGTGTGTGGTATTAATCATCACCGTCTCATACGCTATGCCGCTTCAGGAGCGCGAGAACTTCAACCAGACGGTGGCCAGGTTCAAGGAGGACCAGCAGGAGCAGCAGGCCATGATGGCCGAGGACCTTCAGATCAAGAACAAGCTGCAGGTCAGTGACCCAGCGGCGGCCAGCGGTCCGGGACCAACGCTAGTGCCCAGCAGGAGTCGTGGCTGGGCTGTTGCGTCCAGTGTGGATGGCAGTCTTCGCTCAGTTTCGCAACGGTGCGATGTAGTTTTGAGTCCGGCCGTGGTCTGCGCAGCGTGAACAGCGGTCCCCGGTGCTAGTCGTGGCTGAACCTCGGTCCCCGGGGGAGGGGGGGGGGGGGGGGGGGGGGGGCAGTGACTTTCAGGGTGGACACTGGTCGCGCCCGACAGCGGGCGGCGTTGTGACCGTGACCTGGTCGTGACGTGTGGCACGACCCTGGCCCTGACTCTCGGCCGCTGCCGTCGCTGCGCAGATGGAGCTGGACAGCAAGGACAGCGAGATCGAGCAGCTGCGTCAGAAGCTGTCCATGCTCACCTCGGAGACGGCCAGCGTCAGCAGCGGCGCCGACTTCGAGACCGCCGACGGGGAGGGTGAGGGCCGACGGCCGGCTCAACAGGGTCGGAGCGGTGCGGGTGGGCTCGAGGCCCTGCTCGCGGGACCGGTCAGCTACCTCTGCCGCGTCGACGCGCAATAAATGGAACCTTGTGTCTTGTGTCGATTGACGTGAATAATGCGTCTTCCGCATGGATTCTAATTGTCAACTTTTCACTCGTTTTAAAATTGACGTCTCGACGATTGATTGATAAACGATTTTGCGTATCATTTTTACCTGATGTAATTTTGCAAGTGGTTTCCTACGCTAATCTCACAATAACCCTCACGCCATGGATTTTTCTATTTGTTTAATAGACCTGATCTGTTGATACTCAGTAGTCCATCCTTCACATCGATCACCACTCGACTCGCTTGAGCTAAGCTCTTGGTTTGTTCATGACTGCGTGTCTTGGAGGACTGGTGCCCGGTCGGTGCGGGCGCGTGCGTGCGTGCGTCCGTCCTCGTACCCCGACGAGCCGCTGACCCTCTACGGCCGGCAGACGCGCGTCTGGAGGGCTGGCTGTCGGTGCCCAACAAGCAGAACATCCGGCGGCACGGCTGGCGAAAGCAGTACGTGGTCGTCTCCTCCAGGAAGATCATCTTCTACAGCAGCGAGTCCGACAAGGAGCGCACCGACCCCGTCATGGTGCTGGACCTAAGGTGGGAGAGCCGGTCGTGGGACGCTGTGACGGAGAGACTTGGAAGAAGTGTAATGATATCGGTGGTGGGAGGGCTGCTGGAGCCGAGCAGCAATCTGGTGGGAGGACTGGACCCATGTTTGACTGTGTGGTGGATGAGCGGGTATGAGGATGTTTGCCTCCGGGTCCAGCAAACACGTGCGGCGCCCAGGCAGCCGTTTTACATCGCTCGTGACGCTGCCGTAAAGCTCCCGGTGCTGCTGCGGGGCGAGCGCGTGGTGCGTGGCTGGGCTGCGTGTCGCCGTGTGACCTCTGGACCGCGTGTCGCCGTGTGACCTCTGGGCCGCGTGTCGCCGTGTGACCCCCGGGCCATGTATCGCCGTGACCTCTGGGCCGCGTGTCGCCGTGTGACCCCCGGGGCATGTGTCGCCGTGACCTCTGGGCCGCGTGTCGCCGTGTGACCCCCGGGCCATGTATCGCCGTGACCTCTGGGCCGCGTGTCGCCGTGTGACCCCCGGGGCATGTGTCGCCGTGACCTCTGGGCCGCGTGTCGCCGTGTGACCCCCGGGCCATGTATCGCCGTGACCTCTGGGCCGCGTGTCGCCGTGTGACCCCCGGGGCATGTGTCGCCGTGACCTCTGGGCCGCGTGTCGCCGTGTGACCCCGGGCCATGTGTCGCCGTGACCTCTGGGCCGCGTGTCGCCGTGTGACCCCCGGCCATGTATCGCCGTGACCTCTGGGCCGCGTGTCGCCGTGTGACCTCTGGGCCGCGTGTCGCCGTGACCTCTGGGCCGCGTGTCGCCGTGTGACCTCTGGCCGCGGTCGCGTGTACCGCCGTGGGCCATGTCTCCGCCGTGACCTCTGGGCCGCGTGTCGCCGTGTGACCTCTGGTCCGCGTGTCGCCGTGACCTCTGGCCGCGTGTCGCCGTGTGACCTCTGGCCGCGTGTCGCCGTGTGACCCCCGGGCCATGTATCGCCGTTACCTCTGGGCCGCGTGTCGCCGTTGACCTCTGTGCCGCGTGTCGCCGTGACCTCTGGGCCGCGTGTCGCCGTGTGACCCTGGCCGCGTGTCGCCGTGTGACCTCTGGGCCGCGTGTCGCCGTGTGACCTCTGGCCGCGTGTCGCCGTGTGACCTCTGGGCCGCGTGTCGCCGTGTGACCCCCGGGCCATGTATCGCCGTGACCTCTGGGCCGCGTGTCGCCGTGTGACCTCTGGGCCGCGTGTCGCCGTGTGACCCCCGGGCCATGTATCGCCGTGACCTCTGGGCCGCGTGTCGCCGTGACCTCTGGGCCGCGTGTCGCCGTGTTGACCTCTGGGCCGCGTGTCGCCGTGTGACCTCTGGGCCGCGTGTCGCCGTGTGACCTCTGGGCCGCGTGTCGCCGTGTGACCTCTGGGCCGCGTGTCGCCGTGTGACCTCTGGGCCCGCGTGTCGCCGTGTGACCCCCCGGGCCATGTATCGCCGTGACCTCTGGGCCGCGTGTCGCCGTGTGACCTCTGGGCCGCGTGTCGCCGTGACCTCTGGGCCGCGTGTCGCCGTGTGACCTCTGGGCCGCGTGTCGCCGTGTGACCCCCGGGCCATGTATCGCCGTGACCTCTGGGCCGCGTGTCGCCGTGTGACCTCTGGGCCGCGTGTCGCCGTGACCTCTGGGCCGCGTGTCGCCGTGTGACCTCTGGGCCGCGTGTCGCCGTGTGACCTCTGGGCCGCGTGTCGCCGTGTGACCCCCGGGCCATGTATCGCCGTGACCTCTGGGCCGCGTGTCGCCGTGTGACCTCTGGGCCGCGTGTCGCCGTGTGACCCCCGGGTCATGTATCGCCGTGACCTCTGGGCCGCGTGTCGCCGTGTGACCCCCGGGCCATGTGTCGCCGTGACCTCCGGGCCGTGTATCGTCGTGTGACCCCTGGCCATGTGTCGCCGTGTGACCTCCGGGCGGCGTGTCGAGCGGGCCGGCCGGACTAACCGGCGCCGTGGCGCGCGTCTGTTGCAGCAAGCTGTTCCACGTGCGGCCCGTGTCACAGGGGGACGTGATGCGCGCCGACCCGCGCGACATCCCGCGCGTCTTCCAGGTCAGTGGCCGGCGGCAGCGTCTCGGTGCGCGGAGACCGGGCGGCGGGCGCCCGGCCAGGCTGGTCAGCCGCCGCACACTGACGCCATTTATACTGTGTGCCCTTGTTCCCTGTCGAGTAGTGGTTGGGAAACGGCGTCTGGCTTTGTTATGCCTTTTGTTTTTTGACGTCTGATTCGAAATTATTCGACGTCAAAGTGTCGAGTCGAGCACTGTTTGTCGAACATTGTTTGAAAAATGGGGTCTTGTTTTGATAGTTGGCGTCTGATTTGGAAATATTTGTGACATCTGAAACGAAATTTTGCAATTGTTTTCAAGTGCAGATTTGATCTTTACTACTCATCCTTGTGACATTGTTATTCGTCGGTCCAGGATACCAAACCAAGAATTTCAGCAGCGCTGTTGAGTGCTGCCGCGTTGTGGAACACGTTGACCGTTGGTTTGATGCGAGTGCGTTTCGCTCACCCGTTGTTCATTTGTGTCTCCGGCCTCCCTGCACTCGGCAGTCCCCTGGTGTAAGTTCGCGGGACCAAGGTACTTACCCGACGCGAGTCTGTCTACGCGTTCAATGTCTGGAAACACTAAACCACCGTCTCAGTTGCGCCGACGCATGCGCACTACCGTCCATTAAAACGACGTGATTCTGTTCAGCTTCGGCATGTCATTGCAGCCTAAACCATCTTTTCGTCTCCTTTTTTGCCTGAGCCGTCCTAGGAAGCGGTGAGCGTGGACACGAACGGTCGAGAGTCTTGTTATTGAGACGGTGTTGTACGGATGGTAGGCTGTAGCTGTTAACAACCAGGACTAGTATGCAGGGGACAGTGTGGTTTGTTAGTATGTTCGCGCGTCTTCCCGAGGTTGCTGTAGCAGATCCATCCTTCGCGTTTGTTGGGTGTCGCCATAGATGGTTTTGTTGAGCCCTGTGCATGCTTCATGCACGTAAGTTCAGCTATCAGCTCACTTGCATAAAACTGACGGTGCATAATTATTCTAACAAATCGTGAGCTATTAATGACGTTGAGAAGGTGAGTAAACGGCTCTTAAATTTAACGTAAAAATGAGAACATATAGTGTGCCTTGCATAGTACGCACTTGCCGTATGCTGCCGTCGAATTTGATTAAATCACCGAGGTTAAAAGTGCTGAAGTCGGTCTTACGTAAGTTGTTCGGTGTAGCTGCCAGGAGCATTACACACGTTTAAGACAGCACTGATGTCTTATTCCTCGTGGAATAACCAGGAGATAAGGCATATATCTCCTTTCTTCTGGTTATTCGACCAGGAATAATACTAACAGTACTATCTTATACATGAACTCGGTTTTATTGAATACAACGCCGCTATTACCGCGTGGAACCAATCCGTTGGTTGCAAACCAGCCTTATTGTGCAGGATGTGGGGGAATTATAGCTGGGAATAGAGCTAGGGAATATGGTGAAATTGAATGATCGTAGTGTTGATGGTGCCATCTGTCGTCCATGAGATGGCGCCATCAACAGTACTCTCAAAGTTCGTCTGTTCGGGTTCCATATGTCGAAGGTCGTTACCACCGAGACCGCTTCGGTGTTACGAGGCAAGGGAATCCAGGGTGACCGGAAAGAGCCGGGAACTAGCGGGACCTTCAGGGACTTATTCGTGTGTTATCCACGTTTTTACGCCCTGCTTGACAAATCCTCCGTCTTTTAACAGGCATCACGCACTCGAATCTCATATTTTTATGTCGACAAGGACTTCCCTCCACACTGTTGTGCCGCCATGCATCACTTGTTCATAGTACACAGCAGTGTGGCTCTCTTACCGTTTCCCTTCTGACCCAGTGTGTGTTGTCTGTCCCGCTTGCGTGGCGTCGTGTTTGCCCACGTGTCCCGCTTCAGGCAGGTTACGCGTCAGCGTGTGGTGTGCGTCGTGTGTCGCACCGTGTTTGCCCGGTAACTGTCCGTCGGCTGGTCCACCTTGGCCTCCCCCCCACCCTCGTCCTCCCCCTCCCCCTGGGAGGAACCGTGCCTGACCACCGCTTGGCTGGCGTTTTCGCCGCTTTTGCAGCGTCGCTTGGCGTGAGATGAAGGTTGTGCTTTGACCTGTCGCTGCCCCCCTGCCGTGCATCTGATGTCGTGCCGACCCGTGTCAGTGCCCTGACCCAGCGGTTGCGCCCGTCTCCGCCCCGTCCGCGCCGGTACCGCGCCCCAGCAGTTTGCGGCTGTGTAGCTGGCCCGTCCTGTTCCAGCACCCCGCTCCAGCAGCAGCCCCGCCCCCCTGTGCTGTACAGTTATCCCGCGACGCCCCTTATCGTGAGCTAACTGAGCTAGACGTGCGTTGTCACGACGACTGCCACGTCTTCGTCAAAGCGTAAATCTCGAACACAGCGACCAGCCGTTGTTTTGGGGTGTGCCGTAAGCGCGCGCGCGCGTCCGAGCGAGGTCAGCTGTGTGACGGGGGCTCCGGCCGGGCCGACAGCTGCTGTACGCGGGCGAGGGCTCGCGCCACCGGCGGGACGACAGCGCGGCCTCTGCCGAGCTGGCGGCGCCCGACAAGCCCGGCCAGCTGGCGCACAAGGGCCACGACTTCGTGCAGATCAGCTTCCACATGCCGGCGGCGTGCGACGCCTGCTCGCGGCCGCTCTGGCACATGTTCAAGCCGCCGCCGGCGCTCGAGTGTGAACGTGAGTCGAGGGCAGGGCTCTCCGCGGGGAGGGGGCTTGGGTGGGAGGGAAGCGGAGGGGCGTATGCGTGGTCTGGGGGGAGGAGGAGGGGCGAAGGATTGGGAGAGAGGTAACTTCGGTGTGGTGAGAGGTGACTTCGATGGGCTTTGGGTGTATTCCATTACGACTAGTGGTCGTGATAGTGACCCCTATGGTTGCGATAAATCAGGTAGTTCTGGAAAGTTTCATCAGTAGCCTGCCGTCCTCAGCGATCAGGGCCCATGGAAAATCAGATGCTTTGCATGTTTTGTTTTTTCTGTCTGTTGCCGCCCCGTTTCATCAGTTGAATGGAGGATACCGGGGCCAATAGAGGGACCAACTAATGCACCGACAGCTGCTGTAAGTCTCTGGGTCCAGGGAGACCGCTGGTCAGGATCAGGCGCAGGCTGCTGGCCTGCTGAAGTTTCGGTTCGGTTAAGCGCTGATGGCTCACCCGGGCCTCTGACAGCTACCTGTCATTTGTCGAGCCTGACAGTCTGCTCGCTTGCCTCGCGGCAGCAGCCTGCCGCCGCTCGGGTGGGACGTGTGGGTGTTTCGTCAGCGCCGGCGAGCGCGGCAGCTTGCCAGCGCCTCCCCCGCTGTTTCCGTCAGTAGTTGAACCTGTTCACCGGCCAGGCGCTAGTCTGGTGGCCGCATAGCGCCCACACGCCCTGAGTGTGTGGGCGCTGTAAGACCGAGCAGCCTGCGCTTGAGGCGCCAGCCGCTCTCACCGGACGTGGCCTTCGCGCGGCAGGGTGTCACATGCGCATGCACCGCGAGCACCTGGACAAGAACGAGGGCACCGTGGCGCCGTGCAAGCTGAACTTCGACTCGCGCACGGCCAAGGAGCTGCTGCTGCTGGCGCCATCTCTGGACGAGCAGAAGCACTGGGTGCTGCGGCTGGGAAAGCGGATACAGAAGTGCGGCTACAAAGCCAACCAGGCGCTCACCGACGGCAGCAAGGTGTCGCCCAGGTGAGAGGCGGCGGCCGGCGCGGCCAGATGGAGGGAGGGGAGAGGGGGAGGGGGGGGGGGGGGTATGGGGCCGGCTGCGCGTGTCAAACGGTCGGAGCGAGCCGGACAGCGAGTCGGTACTCACCGCCGGACCTGTAGCTCGGTCTGTGTTTAAATGGGGCTTCGTGCAAAAGTGAGAAGCATTGCTGCTTTGCTCGATTCAAAGTCACGCTGCCTAGTTCCGAAAGCTCTTCTCCTTTTGATTGGCAGGGGTTTTTCTCTGAAGCGTAGTGCCTGTGGCATTGTTGCCTCGCTTGGGGTTGCCCGTACGTTGTGCAGTTGCAAGAATGCTACCTTGTCTTCCACGTTCTTCGTATTTTCTTCGCTTCACATCGATGGGTCACAACTTGTGTCCGCTATCGAACAGTTAGGGTCAGTCCATATCAGCCCGTGTGTGCCCTCCAGAGCTTTTGCGTCTTCCGCCTGGCGTAACAGGCGGAGCCGAGACGTGAGTGACATGGTGCGGTCTAGGCTTGTTACGCGGTGCGTGTGGTGCCTGGTTGCACTATGTTCGTACTTCCTGCGTGGTCGTGAGACGGTATCGTGGCTGACGTCACGTTATGTCGCCAACTGTTGATTGCTCGGCGCGATTTTCCCTGGCTTAGAGCGTTTGGAAAGCCAGCTGAGGACCGTACATTACAACGAGCTCGACTGGGCAGTCGGCACGAGATCTGGTGATGCCAACACTCATCTCCGAACGGAGAAGAACAGCTGGGTGAATTGCGTGGCTCACCTGGTTCCGGCGAGCGTCGGTAGCGTTCGGCTAGCTTTGACAGAGGTGATCCTCACGCAGTGCTCTGCTTCCAGGGAGTCGACGCGGTCCGCCTACAAGCCGTACAGTGTTCCAGCGCCGCAGAGCGGCAACAAATCAGCGACGCTGCCACCTGGCAGCAGTCTACAGAAGCACAAGTGATAGCCTTGGCCGCCTGGCGGCACCCTAAGTTAACCCCACCCAGTAGTCGGGCCGGCTGAGGTCGCCGGCGTGACGTCACTCCTTCCCGGTGACGTCACCGGCGGAGCCAATCCGCGAAGACGAGCGATCGACGAGTGTGCCATGCATTTTCCTACCGTGAACCCTATGTGATAACAGGAACAAGGCGGCGCCGCCGCGCGACTGGGCCAGACCCAACAGCGTGCCTTGACCACTGCGCTTCTTGTACGTTTGTACATACATTCGTGTATATACGATTCGCTAATCATCATTGTAGGCGGTTGAACGTTTTATATTTTCCCAGATTGTGGAAAGAACGCGTGGGAGGCGCGGCCATTTTGTATCGTGCGTGCTCGGCGGTTGCGGTGCGGCAGGACGGAGCGGTCTGGTGCCGGGAAGAGAGGTCGATTTAGCCAGCTCAACTTTATCTACTGTCCGCTTTATACACGTGAAATCGTTAACAAATAAACACCTCATCCCAGGCGGCTGTTTTTGGAGCGGAGCGCTGACGCCGGGCTGTTAGCGGCAAGCGGATTATTTGAAGAGGCTCGGAAACGGCTTAAATTGCGAACCCTGGATCCGGAGATCGCTTTTTACGTTTGCTGAAGCGGCTGACGTTGGATCGCTGCAAAAACACACGCGTTGGCTGAATGACGCGATGGAAGCTCCAAAGATACTGCCAAACTGACTCCCCTTTGCAGCCAGTAAGACAGCAGAATTCTAGTCGCAGGGGTCTCCCTCAGCAATAACCCGCTGGCCTACGTAACGGGTCTAACAGATACTCTAGCGCCTTCTCTTAGATCCCGGCGCCCGATGCCGTTTCGAAAGCCGGGGTCTCGTTCGTGGCTCAAGCTCCATCGACATCGCCCGACCGTAACATCCAATGTCTGCGTAGCCGCTATAAAATACCCGGAAAAACGCTTGCAACAAAAAGGCCACTTCCTCGCGTGAATGGGCTCGTTGCAAGCATTGGCATTGTCCTTGATTCTTGATCTTGTCGTCATTTTGCTCTCATGCCCTTGATCTCATCGCCAGTCGCAAATTAGGCCAAAATTTCCTTTCCATTCTAAGAAACTGCGTGCCAGTACTAGACACAGCAGCCGTCTCTGCAGTACCGGTGCTGGCCTCGAGCGGTACCGCGTCAGTTGCGTTAGCGCCATCTGCAGGCTGCAAATAACCAACAACATCGCGCCTGTGGAGCATCACAGATCGGTCTGAGTGGTTCCTTACAAAGGGTGGTATGTCGTGGGACGAGTATGACCTTGTCAGGGCGCCCGTAATCTCGATCTGCTCCAATCGCTGGGCAGTCAGTACGTAATCTCAATCTGTTGACAACTCTGTCCGAGCGCAAAGACAGGACACAGACCTAGAGGCATGCGCACAGACTTCTTCAGCCGTATCTTAGCCTGACCCGGCACAACAGAGCAATCAAGCATACTGCGGGTGGCCTTCAAAAGATCCCATTCAGATACAGTCATGAGATAGGCCTTCAACAGCAGTGAAAACAAAACACACTTCTTCGCCGTCTTCAGCCACGACTATCGTTATCGGCAGACTGCACGTGTGGAGGGCTTTCAGCGGATGCTCCTGAAGCAGGAGTTAGTGTGGTGGCCGGGTCCCGTTTTGCCTGAGGGGCTACGATGTCTAACACCCGACCATCTACGACACTGTTCTGACCATCAGAATCCGGACAGCCACTGACTGTGTAACCATCAATGGAAGCCCTGGTAACTGGCAAGGAGGCCAGTCTTACCTTGTGCGTCCGTCTACAGGCTCGTTTGGCCACTGGGGTTTCGTGTGGCCCACCCGTCCACATGACCAGCAGCGGATAGAACTTGCCCGTCGGCCCTTGGTCCAGTCCTTCGGATACGGCGAGGTGTCCCCGCACCGTGGCTTGTCCGCCACTCGTCCGGTCACGTGATCCAGTGCGAGGCCTTCCCGCTGTCAGATGAGTCCGACGAGCCGTCCCAGCCGCCACCGCCGCTAGATGGTGCGCCGCGCCGACCGTCGCCGGAGCGGGCGTCTCGGAGCGGCCGCCACTGGCTGGGGCCATCTTCCGACCGCCCCGCGGCGGGAGCGGACCGGTCGCTCCGTCGATCCCGCGTTCTCCCGCCTGGATCGGCCCTGATGATGATGATGATTTGGAGTTTTAGGGCGCATCGACTGCTAGAGGTCATGCAGCGCCCATAACTATCGATTCATGCAGAGCCGTCAATCAGAGAAGTGCATCAATCAGGTCACCCTATAGAGCCATGATGATCGGCCCTAGCATCATGATGAGAAGGTTACAGGAAAATCTATAGCGCGGAGGAACTGGAGCACTTTACCAAACCCGACGATGTTCGAAGAATCCCCTAAAAAGTCGCATAGCGTGCGACTCTGGACGTGGCGTCCGAAAAACTGCGCTCTCGTTGCAGTAAGGTGGCGGCAATCGACCAGTACGTGATGCACGGTCAGTGGATCAGAGCATCGACCGCAGCATGGTCTGTCGCCAGCCAATAGCAGGTGACGGTGCGTAGCATATGTGTGACCTATGCGTAACCGGCAAAGGGCAACTTCTTCCACCCTATTGTCCCGAAAGCACGACTGCCATAATCCAATGCGGGGTTTCACCGACTGCAGCTTGTTGGCGCTCAGCGAGTTCCAGTACAACTGCCATCGCTTCTGCATAAACAGCGACACTGCGGGGTACATGTCTTGAGCAGGTAGTGGTGTTATAGGAATTCTAGTCCCTGTCGTAGCGCGCTTTGCTGCCGCGTCAGCAAGATCATTTCCGCATATCCCCACGTGACTTGGGATCCAGCATAGAACGACCGTTTTTCCTGCTCGATCCAGTGAGCTAAGACGAGATTGAATGTCCTGAACCAGTGGATTCGACGGGGAGAAGCCGTTAACAGCCAGCAGGCTGCTCAAAGAGTCGGAAAGAATTAAATGCAGATTGCTATCGTCCACTTCAATAAAACAGAGAGCTTTGCTAATGGCTATAAGCTCGGAAGTGTAGACCGACGCATGTGAAGGCAGTGTGAATGACCGTGTGGTGGATCCGCACACAAAAGCGCACCCTACACCTGCATCCGTCTTCGAACCATCTGTATAAGTCATCTTGTACCTGTCAAAGGAGGCCATGTGCTCTAAGGCTGCACCTTTGAGTTCCGTCATGAGGACACGTTGCTTTTGCATATTTGATAGAGAGACATCCACTCTTGGCGATGCTAGCTCCCAGGGAGCAGTCTCCATGGGTTTAGGTCTGATGACACGCCGTAGGTTCAGGCCGCTCGCATCTAAAAGCTCTCTCATTCGTACACAGAAGGGAGAAGTTTTAGGTGACCGTTGACGTAGGAAAAGCCTTCGTAAGCTACGCGAAAACACTGCTTTGTAGGTGGGATGATCTGGGAACTGCGCCAGCTTGCACGTGTAGCGCAGTCCCAGCATCTGCCTTCGCAATGCTAGTGGGGGCTCGTGAGCCTCCACCAGAAGACTGTCTATGGGCGATGTCCGAAAAACCCCCGTGGCGATACGGAGTGCGGCGTGATGCACCGTGTTCAGAGTACGTTTGATCAGGTCTGATGAGCTGTCGTAGATAAAACAGCCGTAGTCAAGTTTTGAACGAATCAGGGAGCGGTATAGGAGTAAGAGTGTCTTCCTATCAGCACCGTATGACGTACGTCCCATGCACCTTAGGATGTTAAGAGATTTTAAACATTTGTCGCGGAGATTTCTGATGTGCTCACGGTATGTTAGGCGTCGGTCAAAGCGTATACCGAGAAATTTCGCGGTATTCTCATTGGCGATGCGTTGCCCATACAGCCTGATTTCCATATCAGGACAGTGACGGCGACGACGACAGAAATGAACTACAGTTGTCTTCGATGTAGAAACCGGAAACCGTTGAGCACACTCCACTTCTCCAGACGTGTGACAGCCAGCTGCAGCTGTCGCTCCATCGTGCGAGTGGTCGATGAGCTACAACCAAATAGCAAAGTCGTCCACAAACAGAGAACGGCTGATCCCATGTGGAAGCGTGTCCCCTATGTCGTTTATCATCACTGCGAAAAGAATGACACTTAATACGCTGCCCTGAGGCACACCATTGTCCTGTGGATACCTGTCGGATTGATAAGAACCAACACGCACCCGAAAGAATCTGTCAGTCAGAAAGTTTTGTAAAAACTTTCCCATGTGACCACGGATGCCACAATAGAGTAACTTCACCATAATTCCATGTCTCCATGTGGTGTCATAAGCTTTTTCTATGTCAAAGAAGATGGCGCCGGTATGACGCTTGCTACTAAATCCGGCTCGCACTGCGGTATCAAGAGTTAAGATATGGTCGATCGTGCTCCTGTTCTTACGGAATCCGCATTGAGCATTCGTGAAAAAGTTCTGGCGTTCTAAAGTCCACGAGAGCCGCACATTCACCATTCTTTCCATGAGCTTACAAAGCGAAGATGTGAGGGCGATCGGGCGGTAGTCAAGAGCGTTCGTCCCACTTTTCCCGGGCTTTAAAATAGGCACTACTATTGCTTCTCGCCAGATTGGCGGGAAGTCACCTGACACCCATATGCAGTTGAAAACTGCCAGCAACGCTCGTAGTACACGGGGAGGAAAATGCCGTATCATATCATTGTGGATGAGGTCGGGGCCCCTCCGCTACACTACGCAGCGAGCGAATGGCCGCTTGAAGCTCCATCATAGTGAAATGTTTGTTGTACGTCAGGACGTCATCTGTACAAAACTTAACCTGCGAAGTTTCACATCGTGCCCTGTGCCGCAAAAAACCGTGCATCGCAGGTGCCATTTCGGCAACGGTCTGACAAGGCTTCCCCACATCTTGGGGAAGTCATGGCTTCTGCCACATCACTTGGGTGAGTGATGTCTTGACTTCCCACTCGCAGTACGGGAAGGGAAACTGCTGGATGCAGTCCAGCGATTCGCTTAATGCGGCCCCATACCTGTGACGTCGGCGTGTGGCGATTTAGTAAATTGACGTAGCTGCGCCACGATGCACGTTTCGCCTCTCGTATAGTGTGGCGTGCGGCCGCGCGTGCTTGCCTGAAAGCCAAGAAGTTTAATGTGCTGCTGTGCCGGTCAAAAGCCCTAAAAGCTCTCCGACGTGCACGAATAGCGTCGCGACACTCGTCGCTCCACCAGGGTACAGGGGTGCGACGAGGGTATCCGGAGGTGCGCGGAATGCATCCTTTCGCCGCATCCAACACGAGACGTAAATTCCTCCGTAGTCGGAGTTGCAGAGTCGAAATCGTTGGAGAACGTTTCGTCCAGGCGAGTCTCAAATCCCCTCCAGTCCGCCTTCTTGAAATTCCAACGCTGAGGTCGAGCACCAAGAACAGTACCACCACGGTACCGAACCCAGACCGGAAAATGGTCACTTCCAAGGGGGTCCTCTGAAGCATCCCAGGTGAAGTGTGGTACCAACTGCGGACTACAAATGCTCAGGTCTAGCACCGACGATTGTCCGGATGG